TCGCCGCCTTCGTGGTGAGTCACTTTGCACTTTGACACGGACGGGTGTAGTGAGCTTGAAGCAGCACATGCTGTGCGCTATTTAGCATGTGTTGCCTGGGGCGCCGCCACCTGTGTTGACTCGAGTAGACGGCTTTTGCGAACATGATCACACGCACCACCTCTACCCTATGCCACTGTTGTACATGCGGATCGACAGGCAGTCTTCGTCTCCGTTTTACCGATCGTCCCGGCGTACATCGTGTGCTGGCCGTGGGCTTTGATGCTGGTGCTGCATGGGCGATGGATAGGAATTACTCTCGCGATCAGCCAACACCTCATCCTCTCCGTGATTGATACCGAGCTCTACACGCAGGTATGTCGAATCAATCACTGAGCTGTTGCCTGTGGACCAGACGCGTGATGTTGTTGCTGTGACATTGAGCGCCGCCTTTGTAGAGTAGGAGGCAGCCTGCCTGCGATATGACCGGAAATTATCTCGGTTTCCCATCGTGCATGGCACCCGATGCCCATTGTACCTGTCTCTGCTATGGTTGTTTTCCGCTGACGTCTCCCGATGCTATTCGCTCTTGATTGTGTCCTCTCGCCCACAACGTCGAGCAGGGTGTTCGCGAAGCCAACCCGTATTTGACGTCCCTCAGCTGCTTCCTAGGCTACTCCGTGTTCGGTGCTCATGGAGTGCTCATGGGGCCGCTTGTCCTTTGCTTGGGTACGCTAATCTACGGCGGGCTCGGATTCGTACAAACTTCGATGGCACAGGTACACGCTGTAACGGGCATGAAATCAAGAAACAATGACCCGCCGTACCTTGATGTACATTGCTGCCCCGTCGCAGCTTGTTTCGTGCGTCCAGTTCTTGAGCCAACAAAACTTGGGTCGTTAGCAGTGGCAACTGTTAGGGGAGCCGTTTGCCTTTTGTCCATGAAGTTGCACGTGGAATCCGTAATGGATGTCTTAACTATGGGCCAACGCGTGTCCAGGGCACCACGTACGATCAGTCCACGTCTGCACGCAAGGGGGCTCACGTGGACGCCCCACGAACACCACGGTCGGACGGACCCCAGCCCCGTCCTCGTGGAACGGTCTCGAGCTTGTTGGAAGAGGAGGGTTCGGCGGGATCCACCAATGTCTCGCGTGACACCCGCGTTGCCAACCATCATGAAGGACTCGGGGAAAAGGAGACTTCAGGTAGCACATTCAGGATACCAACGGCTGTGCAAGAACTATCGTTTTTTTGTTTTTGCTCAATGAGGAAGTAGACCCGTTGATGCTCATGCTCTTCCAATGTCCAGACCTACAACTGTTTGCCAGTGTCGCCGAATCGGCCGAGTGAAAGCCCTCTTTGGCCGTCTCTCCTGCCGTACTTCCACGCTGTTGCCACTGTTTTGCTGACCAGACATCCATGAGGTTATCTCCTCGCTACAGCTAGCCGAGCTTTGGTCTAGCTTTACGAGGAATCTGCACGACAGCGCGCGCGTACCCTCACCAAGCTGTAGCCGGAGGGTCACGTTACAAATGGTGAGAGGTGGCGAAGCGGTTTGCAACAACGGAGCGTTGGCTTCTCTGCTCCCTTTGAATTTCCAGCGCATTGCTTAAAGTACGTGCAAGTGTATACCTTCCCTATTGCTGAAAATATCATCGCAATTTTACTTGACACACCAAGCACGCGGTTCCACGCTCGCCAACCGTAGGCACGGCGTCCGGCCAGTATCGAAGGGGAATTGCAGGAGCACAACGCCGACAATGAGGAATCGGCGCAGCAAACGTGGCGCTTCCGCTTCTCGCCCTCGTTGACCTGGGAAGCATTTTTGCTCGAGGTGCAGGGGGTGATGGGTGTGCCGGAAATATCCGGTGAGTGGTCATCGGACACACCTTTCCGAACGTTGCCAAGCCAGGCGTGGGTTGATTGTCGAAAGAAGCTTTGACTGAACTCAGGGTTTGGTCAATCGATAGACTTCCTGCGTGCCAACTACCGACGGCAGCACCTCGTTACAAACACTGTTGCGTTGGAACCTAACATCCGCAAACCTTGGCAGATTGTGCATGTCCTACTGTAGCCTGTCTCACGGGGAGCATTGCATTTGTTTGTGTGCATGTTCGCTTGCTTTTTTTGTCAGGTGTCTACGGGAGCGATGGCGCAAGGATAACTCGTGTAGACTTCATCGAACACGGGGAGATGTTGAATGTTGCCGCCAACAATCCGACGGGGTCCGGATGATGGTATCTGATCTACAGTATCTACATTCGATATTCGATATTGGGTGGTATTCTTGGAGGAGAGCAACAATGTCTTGAGATTGTAAAAAGTATATGTAGTCGTATGCTTCTGGTTGTTCCATGCGGTCTGCACATTGTTTATTGTTCTATGAAGTTCGTCTACACCCTTGTTGATCTTGGCATATCTATACCAGCCGGCAGGCTATGGAATGTCAGTTGGCACGCACGCCCACACACACCCCAGCAATGAAAACAACGTGCGTACGGCTGAAGAAGCAAATCATCACCCTGAGTGCATAACCCCCTCCATCTCTAAGCACTTCATTCAAGAATAGTCCTTCGGAGCGCCAGCTGCACATGATACCCGTCAGGGTCCGTGAAGCGACGCATTTTCCCCTCGAAAATAGCAGGCTCGCCAATCTCCTGAGCCCCTGTCTGTTTGAGGCACTCCGACGCTCCATCAAGATCATCAACAATGAAACCAAGAAAACCAAAGCCCTGGAAAGACGGGAGGGTAAGACACCATAAATTTACAAGCGGGGGAGGGGCCAAATGCGAACGAGCTGAGAATGTGCGCGCTGGTTGAATCACGTTCTTCGACAGCACTGCTTTTGTTTCCCCGCTTCCATCAGAAGCCGAAAATATTCAACCTACCACCATGCTTAACCGAACAACAACTTGACGAGGCCCCCAAGATTTTTTTTCCCGCAAAGTGTTGGGAATGAACCTGCCGCAAGTCCAAACCGAGAAAATACTATCGACGCAGGTGGAGGGCAACGGGTAGGCGTACCTTCGGGTTGGTGTTTCCGCTGTGGTAAGAAAACGTCGGATCTGCCTCGGTACCGTGATTGTGGGTAAGCTCGAGCACAGGTTTCCACGATCGACCCATACGGCAGTAAGCGTCGGGCGAGTCGGGTGCGGGTAACGAGGAAATCTCCTCAGAGGACAACGATTGGAGGAAGTACAAGCTGAAGCTGTCGAAGTGAAGCTCACAGACCTACGCAGAAGAGGCCACACCGTGCCAAATGAGTCAGACAACGCGAACAGTTGTGCCATGTTGACGTCGCGGACCTTCGAAGATCAAATCGATCATGAAGCCCCCTTTCCAGGGGGTCCCCTCTTTCACCAGACAACTGTTCAGGTTTGCAGCAACTTTCAGTACAATCTACGACGGAATCTACGAAGCAGCACCGAAGCAACTCTTAAGCTCAAAGCAGTGGAAATTCGTTTCTCTACATGTATCACGAAGCGCTACCCACGTCAAGATAAAAGAACGAACGCGCTTCACATGAACTTGGCATCATTTTGGGCGAATGGGAGCTCTGGACTCGGGCAACATGATTGCTTAGAGTTTGGATACGGCCTACCTTGGTCATTCCCATTCCGCCTTTCCCAGTGTAGAACTCCAACGATTTCTCGGCATCCTTCACACGAAGCATTGTCTGCCCCAGGTTGAATTTTTCCTGGTGCCCAGCTTCCGCGTTCCTCTTTACTAGCTCCACCCAGTAGCCTGATGGGTCATATGCAAAAGCTAGCCCCTTCATTCGACCTTCATCTGCAAAGGGGCAACGGCAACGGCATTACATCAGGAGGATAGGATACCAACACACCAGCGAGCTTTCGGGAAAAAAAAAACTGACCAACAAAGGCATGGTTGTTAAACGAGAGGGTTGAGGAACACAAACGCTGAGAATCGAGCAGAATGTCATCCTGCACGGTTTCAATTCAGTTTCGAATAAACCATAGAGACGAATGTATAATTTTCGGAGATGCTGAAAAAACTAGACTTGGAGAGAGATGCTTTGAATGCACCTGACGCGGTGTGCGGCTGCCACGCGGAATGCCCTGTGTAGAAGTACCGTGCAGCACCCGGACTTTGTCAACAAATCGTGCAGTACCTGGCTTTTTCTTGAAGGAAACCCCGGCCATCTCAAGCTCTTCGCTCGCCTTGTAGACGTCGGCGGTGAGGAAAGCCAAATGCCCAAAGCCTCGATGTGGCTCGTCGTTGCCGCTAGAGTACACCAGATCGGGATCGCTCTCCACGCCATGGTCGTGCTCGAGCTCAACACAGGAGTGTTGCATATCGAACAACCGCTCATGGGCCTTCGTGGAGAGTTGATGGGGGCAATGGCTGTGATTGAGTTCGGTGAATCCAGTTGTTGGGTTGCTTCGGCATGAAGCACGAGCGACAAAGGCGCGAACAAAGCAATGGTGGACTCCGTGGATCAGAGGGGGAGATTGAGCCAAGTAGCTCCAACGGATATTCTCGTGCAACAAGTGTTTACAGGTTGACGGACGCCGAACTCGTGTGTCAGACTTCCCGGTTGAATTCAAAGCAGACCGTATAACGTCGTGGAGTCGGAAAGGCGAACAGCAGGTGATACATTACGACAGCTCTGCTTGTTCACTTGACACCAACGTGCCGCTATATGCTAGCTCTAATTTTTCGAGGTAATATTGACATTTATCTCGACGGATCTACACCTCTGCCGAGCCCGCCTCGGGCCACGCCTCCCCATCTCTGAGGGAGGCCAGATAGTAGTTGCTTCTTCCGAGCGAGGGTGTGTGGTAGACGTCCACCAGTTTCATTCCGTAGCGTTCCTCATAGTACTTGACGGTGGCGATTGGGTCCTAAAGGTCGGTGGGGGTGCGGCAGAGAACAGGGGGAGGATAGACACTGAGATAGAATAGGTTCGAGGGCTTACGCAACAACATAGTCTAATTGTTGTTGTTGTTGTTGTTGTTGTTGTTGTTGTTGTTGTTGTTGTCTTCACATTAAACCGCATGTCAGTTGCAAAATGCCAAAATCTAGTAAAAGACTCTCAGCCCGTGGTCACGACAGTGCTAGAGCCATCTGAGGATCTAAAGAACACGCACACATATAACGAGAAAAAGGTATCCAAGAGCCCGAAGAGGTACACCTACAATCCCTGCAGCACCGTATGCGTGCCCAAAAACTGAACTGCACGTCCGTCCCACCGTTCGACTACAGCAGTAGCATCACCCCCTCCCTGTCCCACTCTATACCAAAACGGAAGATTGCCGACTACAGCATAATGCTGTCTGAAGTGCTGTCTGTACAAAAACACCATGGTAGGCATGGAACAAGCAGCTGGCGGGGCACAAAGCTGCTGTCTGAAGTGCTGTCAGAATGTGTCTGCGGCCGTACAGTGAAAAAGAACAACCAACCAAAGCCATCATAGCAGCAATTGACAATCACCCGAATCTCTCCCGATCGTCTGTGTTAGGCACTGCAGTGAAAAATATCGACACTAGCTAAGAATCGTTCCACATTGAAGGGGTCTTCCACGATCAGGCACAAAACCAATGCACCCGGGTTAGCCACGCCATCTCTGACGGGTCTCTCTACAAAACCGGTGACGATGTCATCATACAAAACCAACACGGAAAGTCAGAAAAAAAACGAAAAATATGACAACACAGATAGAAATGTTTGTCCGTGCGCCACGGGTCGATGTCGCCCGCATGCTCCGGTGCCATTGCTCCATCCGGCGCCGCTGTAGTCAGCCCGAGCATAACGCCACTCGACCTGCTCCGTCCGTACACGCTCTCGTTGCTGTCCTTCCCAGTCCGTTCCTCGCTTTCTCCCTCATTGCACTCAAGGTTCTTGGTCTGAAAAAAATAAAAATTCTCGCGCCGAATGGTCAACCAGCCTAGTTCAGCTCGTCGCCACCTTCTCCCTCCTCCTTTGATGGCGAAGCCAGGTCACTGAGGCAATACAGCTCCCTCTAGCAAACCCGTCCACCTTTCTGATGGTGTCTGCCTCCGCGCACAAAAATGAGATGGGCATCACTGCCAACGCCGACGGCCAGAAAGGCCCGCGCATCTACATTTTCCCGCCTGACCCCATCAGTGCCGACCCAACTCCACCACCACACGCACGCCTCGCGGCGGATGCGCAGCAGCAAGAAGGTTTCGGTCATCCCTTGAGGGTGAGTCTAGCCCTGCTCGCCTGAAAGCCCCCCCCCTTCGCTACAACCCATGTCTAAGCAAAAGCTAGTCGAGGAGCGAGGGGAAGAAGGGAGAAATGCAAACGAACGAAAACAAACCCTCGACTAGGGGTCGATCAATCTGTACTGGAAGGTCATTGCAAAAAAACTTTCTCTGGTTACAGAGGCTGAGCTGCCCTCGTTGGAAGCTGACCAACGTCATCGTGTGTAAACTCATTGCCTCTTCCATTAGACGTCTCCGAAACACTGCCTGTGCCCTACGGATACAATGATGGTCACACAAACACAAACCTTGCAACGGAGCATGGACCGATGCCATTTCATGCCATACGGGTTAGAATCGCTGACGCTCATCGTAGCTGTTTCTCTTAGTGTTGCGGCCCGGAGCGAAGCAATATTTCCCGCCAGGACAGAGGTAGCAGGGAGTCTGCTGAAGAGCATTGCCTCAAGATGGACGCAGCTGTACGCGATGACCTCTCTCTCTCCTCCGCGGCGGCACTGGGCATGCTGTGCATCCCCGTGCAACGCATGCGTGAATAATATGTAACTCCCCATTTTTGTTTTTCGTGGGGCGTTGCCGTCGTTCGCTGGTTCCTTCAACAAAGCCGAGACAAGGGCACAAACTGCTGTACACACCGCACATACCAACGATGGTGGGTGTCGAAGAACTGGCGAGGAAGAAAAGAGGGTCAAGGTCACTACCAAAATCCTCCGAGAACCACGTCATGGCTGCCGAGCCCGAGGAAACTACCTTGACAGGTGCCCGCTGGCTCGTTTGCACTTTTGAAATTTGACGTCAGGATCAAAGGGAGTCCGCGCGTTCCTAATGCTGTACGCTGCAGTAGACTGCAACAATCTTTGTCGCCAATGACACGCAGAAAGCACCCTGCCCTTGGCCCTACAGTACCTGCACAACAAATATAATTTTGAAATGCGATCGGTGGTGGTGCGATTGTGCGGAATGCGAAATTGTGAGGCGAATCCGTCTATCAAGCTCCGTTGTTCCTGCTGCATAACGGGGTAGTACTGATACTATTGCACAGACTACATGCATCCATGACAGATAGACTAGACACCCACCATAGTCTAGACTACAGCGTTCTTGTACATTTAGTCTATACATTCCACACATCTTCACTTCAAACATACAGATTCACTTGCCGAGAACATTTTCTCGCAGGGTATGGGGGCAATCCCGAGGGTTCGAAGCTCCTTGCTTGGTAAATCGTCTGGATTTTGTTCTTGATTTTTTCCAGCACTCGAACTTCAGCACGATAGTAAACGCGGTGAATCCGAAGTACAAGGTTGGGTCGCTTCATGTGATGGTTTGGCGTAGCTGTTGAAACGAGGCTAAGTTCGACGCATACGATTCATTGCAAGCTTGGAAACTTATCCTGCTCTCAATCATGCCTTCTTCGTTCTAGCCGTTGTGCAGGCGAGAGCTACGCTGAAGTCGGGTCATCGGTAGGCACGAACCACCCTGTCGCGAGTGCTGTTTGTGTGAAGTTGTCCGAATCTGGCCCATAAATTTCCCTTGCTCAGCTGCGCAGGATCCTTTCTTTTGAAACTACAGTCAGTTGTCGGCCGAAGCCTTGCGTTCAACAGCTAGCTGCGGAAAGCCTGAGTGACTCAAATCAGCGAGTACTCGAACATATTAATAGCTGTAAAACCATCTACGATTGTTGTTGTTGTTGTTGTTGTTGTTGTTGTTGTTGTTGTTGTTTTCGCATGAAAAACCTTTCTACGATGCGGGTGCGACAATGAGGCGAAGCTGAATTTTTCGTGCTTACATTTAGTGCGGTGGGCACCCCAAAGCAATCAGGTGTTTCCTGAAAAGCACAGTGGAGTCCCGAACTACTTGGACTGCCTCCTTGCCGGTCACTGAGCGCCGTTGGCCGTGTGTTCTGTGTTCGCAAATATCCGATGCAATTTCAGATGCAACCAGGGTGATCTCGGCAAGGGATGCCCCTTCCCTGGCTGTCTTCTTCAGGAATCTCTTCGGCCCAGCGGCCTCGCGCGCAGGTCCCCAACACGTTTGTCTCAAGCGGGCTTTCGCTCTCCTCGAGAGCCGTTGGAGTCTGGATGCCGAGGAGGGAGCCTACCAGTTGCCCACGACCGGTTTCCACAAACCTCATGTCCCGTTTGGCGAGTCCTTCCTCTCGCCGGAGGTGTTCGTGAGCGTTGTGGCGTTCTTGGAAATGCCCCAGACGGTGCAGAGCGCGCGAACTTCAAAGGCGTGGTGGCGCAATGGTGGGGAGCTTGCACAGTTTCAACCGTTTGTGTTGGAGTGCAGTTTTGTGCATGCGGTGCTGCGGCGATTTGTTTGTGGCCCACTGCCCAGTGAAGACAAATGGCCATTTTTTTCGTTTTTTCCGAAATACACCAGCAAGGAGGGCGCTTCTGTTTGATGTCGGGTACTCGGCTGCAGCGCCAACGACCTGCTGCGTGGTTCATCCATATAAACTGACGTATGATTCATGCCAAGACGCGCAATCTTAGGGGAAGCCTTGACGGTATTTTTGCCTGAGGATCGCGCGTCTATCCCTACTCCTCTTTTTCCGAATTTCGCGATCACAAAGTTTCTGCCCTACCAGCTGCGGCCCACGTCGACTTGACCACCCTCCGCCCCCGGTCGCCAATCTGCCGCACATCGCTTTGGGGTGGGCCGTCCATTGCACGCCCGAGGGGTCTCAAGTGGAACGATGTTTTAGTCCATCTGAGGCACATCAAGAACACGAATCCTCGCAGAGCGGTTCGACGCCTAACGTTCAACAGTTCCACGAAACTCGGCAGCCTTTCCAACCTCTCCTCCGCCACGACTGAGCTGCTCACCCACATCGACTTTTCGCGCTCGCGTCGCGAAGTCGACTTTGATCAGCTGGGGGTGCAACTGCCAGGGGTCCGAGGCCTGGCTGTGAGCGAGGACGTTTTGATACGTCTCGTTGGCGCGTGCGTTGAGACCGAGAGTAGTTCATGCTTACACCACAAAGACAGCACAAGAAATATGGCGCGTGATTGTGTTAGAAAAAGAAGTTGTACCTTAATTTATTGCTGTCGGGTGGACAGAATGTCACTTTTGTAACCGAACCCGAAAGCCGAATCTTGGCGATCTCGGGACATGCCTGAATTTGCGGTCCTTCCCACGGTTCGGCGCTTTTTCCTCTCTCCCTTGTTTGTTTTTAGGTGCAGTCCCTATCTTACTACACAGCTGCTAGAGGCCAGGCATGGACCAAGAGCTTACTCGTCCACGACATGGTTGTTGCCCTACGCGGAACGCCGTCGTATGTTGGCACGGAAGCATATCTGTGTGTGGCGTTCATCGTCGTACTTCCCATGTATCAGGCCAGCTTCCTTTCCGAGCAGTTATTTCCCGGCGAAGGCCGTCTTTATCTTTGCTTGTTTCATCCACGTGCGTGCAATGTAGTGGACCACAATGCTTGGTGTCTCTCCTCCAGGTTTGTGCAGGTCTTTCGTAGCAGACAGGCAGAAGAAGCATTGGCAACAAGCAGTGTTCCTTTTGCGTTCGTTGGTAGAGGACTGACTGGATGCCGCGGTTGGTTGCGTTATTTGAAAGCGACGATTCATTCCATTCGTCGAACTTGAGGCACAACGTACGGGTGCGGACGTCACCAGGACAGGACCCTATCGTGGTCGCCTGAGGCCGACAGCATCAACATCCGTATATTTTGTTGTATGACACCTCGTGTTCATGCTACAGCGTCATGCCTCATGTGCCATCCTCTCAATGATCTGGTTTCATGTATCGGGCAAATGTCATACATGTCATGCGCAGAAAGCCATTGGGATTCCCAAGACGAATGGTCCACCGTCTCTCGCGCAAAACAACGTGGACCCCTACCTCTCACGTTCACGAACAGGGAGACATAAGACAAACGAATACAACTCACACGACCCTAACTGCACCAGGTAAACAAACACACACGACGGTAAAACACTTCCCTCGACAAAAGCAAGAACGAGTATGTACGCTGACGCACACCAGCAAAACATCGTCTATCGTTCTCCACACACTCGTCCACCCACCCTCTCCTCAACCATCTACACGAAATCAGGTGCATGACCAACCAAACAACTTTGGTGAACAAGCACGAACCTCAACAACCGATTACCGAGACCATCCGTACACTCCTCTCTTTCACCCACCTCGCTGCCAACCCTACTCCTGTTCATCCCCGGCCCCTCCTCCGTACAATTCCGCCATCCTAGCGTGGTGCTCCCTGCTGGTCAATCTCGCCGCAAGGGCACGCACCCAAACATGCTGGGCCTCCACCGACTCCGCGCGAATGACGAGCGTGCCCGTTTCGGCCGGGTTGTGGAAGACCACCAACGCCACCGCGTCCCGTTCGTTGGTCGCGTCTTCGCCCTTCCCCCCCCCACCGCCGCCGCCCCCAGCCCCTGCGCCGCCGACCCCGCCGCCCGCCCTGCCCCAAGGCGTGAAGGGGGGCGTCACCAGCGCCACCCTACTCGGATCAAGCTGCACGGACTCCTTCACCCTGGTCTTGGTGCGCGTGCGGAACAGCGTAAACCGTGTCGCGTCCAGAACGCACCAGCGCTTGCGGACTTTGGGGGCTCCGTGTGCCCTTGCTCTGATGGCCATGGCGGCCCGGGAGATGCCCCCGCCGCCACCTCCGCCGCCGCCGCCGCCCCCTCCACCCCCTCCTCCGGTCGGCGACAAGGCTCCACCAAGCGAGCTGTCGCCGTGTGAAAGCGAACACCAACGGAGGCGGATGCAGGGGATGATGAGAAAGAGGGGAACAAAGGGTGTTTCGGTGAGCAGCTAAACTCAAGTTTACGCTGGCGTACAGCAGCATTAGCGCAGGCACCAATCGATCCACCGTGATACACGCAGCTTGGCCCGCATAAAACTCTCACCCTTGTCCGAAGCCGTATCCCATGTCCACCGCAGCAGAAGACTGCGGGGCCACGTGTTGGCTGTGCGTGTAGTACGTCAGCAAGAACGCGCCCATGCGTTCCGTGCCGACGGCGCTGCTCGTACAAGGTGACGCAAGCGATCGAGAACAAAGGCATTAAATATTACTAAATGATATAGCGGGTTCAGGTACAGCTGTTGGAGGGAAAACAACGGATTCCTGCGAACATGAAGGTCAACCAAGTCCGTCGACCCAGTCCGCTTCACTGTGACAAAACACTTGTCCACATTCTTGGCGGGCCTTCCGCTCTAAACCCATACTGGGGTATCCGCGAGCGCAGCCTAAAACTCGGATATTTGCCCCCAGCCACAAAATGACTCGTAAACCAAGCCTCTTCCCGAGCCCTGAACAACACGCGCAGCCAGGCTGCCCCCTTAGTCCCCTGTTCTCTCTCACCTTTGGACCTGCAACTGTTCCTGCATGCGCGTCGTGATCGCGCGCTCTAGGTTCAGCCGGAAACCGTCCCCTCCCGCCACCGATGTCCCGCTGGCGTGCCGGCTGCCGGGACCCTTCTCTTCTCCGCCGAGAGCGCTCATGCCGCCGCTGTCGCTCGACCTTCGCCCTTGGGTGTTGTCTGTCCCTGTGGTGGGAGCTGCTGCTGCTGCCCTGTGCTCTCTGCTTCGTGACGGGGCTTGCCGACTGTTGCTGTAGATGCGGAATCCAAGCCGACGAGCGTGTACGTGCGAACGCAAAGCAGCTCTTATATGTGCACTTGGAATATACTACGGGGCAGAACTGAAGCTAATTTAAGCTACCAAAAACACGCGTCATCGAGAGTGGCTACCGCAGATACAGACGGAGAGCGATAGCCCATACTTGGGAGACACAGCAGTCGCTGAGCCAACTCTAGAGAAAAAAGACCAGCAAGCCGTTGCATGAAACAGAAACGCTGCTTACTGGCCGCTAGATCAAGCAGAGCGGCCCCTTGGTTACGGTCGAAAACAAAACTCGTAGAAAGGCCTGTGGGCGGTGCAATCCTGCTCGCGCTTCTACGACCATAGCCCCTCGTGACCACACCGCACAACGTTTCGGCATCCTCTCGCACCTTTGTCCCTGCTGCAAGCTCGGTTCATCCCTCGTACGTCTGGCACGCGCAGACTCCTTCCGCTGCTCACCCACCCAGATATTTCTGCTCAACCTCGAGAAAGCGCCTTCCGCCGTGGCGGCGATTTGGGAGGCTTGTAGCGTGGCCGCGGATGGGGTCCAGCCTCTGCTTGATGCGATCGTGACATGGTCAATGTATCCATATTACGTTTGGGTCATGGGACAGGAGGGGGGCAGCGAAAGGCCAGCTAGTGATACCACGATTACAGAATGATGACAAGTACAAGTAGGCACGCGGGTCGACCGACGTGTCCAAAAAAGGGCGTGTTCCAGATGGCACACCGGAAGCCGTCTATTGGGACCACGCTTACACACAATATCCGTTAAAAAACGGCACACACCCCACGATAACAGCAACACAAAAAACTTCCGTATTTCCTTCGCCGTAAGTTTCCTTGTGCCGCGCACGAGGCCCCCTCTCGACAGCCCAACAGGCCGCATCTGCATCTCACAACCGCTGTGGACCAACACGCGTTAAGCGGTAGCAAACCCACCTTGCATCCGCCAAGAACGCCGCGAACGCCTTCGTCCTCAGCAGGACTCTCAAGAACGGGCGGAGGTCGGCCTGCGCGAACGACAAGAACCCGAGCACGTCGAATTCCACGTCGCTCTCTTGCCCGTGCCCCGCGCGCCCGCCACCCCCGCCGCCCCCGCCGCTTCGCTCCACGGCGGCAGCGCTTCCTCCCGCGACGGTGGTCGCGGCGTCGTCGCCGTAGTCCTCTTCGCCGCTGCCGCTATCCGGGGGGCGAATGAAGATGTGGTAACCCTTGAAAATTGTCACCATCATGTTGAAGAGGAACAGCCTGGAAACGAGGGGGTGGATAGATGGGCGGTTGTTGGGCGGTGGGGTGAGGCGGGGAAGATGGGAGGGGCAGAGACCACGCGGCAATATTGGGAGACCACCCTGACTTTGTGTGTGCACGCGCGTGTACCAGTATATCGTATTTTGCATGACCGCGCTAACCGGCTGAGCAATGAAAAGACGCGCGTGTGGGGGGGGGCACAAGCAGGAAGGAATGATTGGCTTGGCTTGGGGTTGGAAAGTTGGAAAGGCAAACAAACAAGAAAGCAACGAAAGCAACGAATGCAACGGCCAAACCAACCAAGACGACGCAACCGTTGGCATCCCACCTCAACGCCTCGCCGGTCCTGGACGCCACGAGAGAGTCCTCACGGCCACCGCCATCCGGCCTGCCCTCGCTCGCCGAGTACACCGGTGTCTGCAGCAAGCGGGTCACAACAGCTGCTTGGTCCACGCCGCCAGAGGGGCCGCCTCCTGCGTCGAACCCGCCGCCGCCGCCACCGCCGCTGAAATAAGGGAGACCAAAAGACCAAAGCAAGCACGGACAAACAAACATGGAGGTTTGAACACCGTCAACGATGTCTTGGGCGCACACACGGCGTGAAATGAAGGGCCGGAAACCCCGCGACTAGCGAGCGTGCTCCCTAACAATCAGTTTGCTGTCTTTGGCGCACACGGGAGGGCGAGAGTCAGAGGGCCTGTTCCCGCGAACACGCAAGCGGACTACTAGTACTCTGCTTACACCATTGCCTGGGCCCGATGAGCTGTCTCTCTATCTGTCTCTGCCTCTGTCTCTGTCTCTGTCGCTCTCTCGCACGCACACCTGCCGCCGTAAGGCCTTGCTCTAGCCCTTGCACCCCTGACCGCGCCCGCGGACCCGTCATTGTGCCTCGCGCCGCCAGCCACGCCTTCGCCTTGCTTCTTCAGCCGACCGGCGAGCTGGTATCGGAATCTGCAGCAACAAAACAGCAGCAGTAAATCCATGTAGTATCCCATGTCAGCCAACCTTGAAACTCAAACGCCTGATCCAACAAAACACAACCCCGATGAACCCTCGCCAAGAAAGGATAGAGTTTCCCAGGGGACCCCAACGTTCAAACACGCGTTTCTCGACGAGCTTGCAGTGCTCGCGGACGCGTTGACAATCTCGTCGAGCCCCCCCCCCCCCCCCCCCCCCCCCCCCCCCCCCCCCCCCCCCCCCCCCCCCCCCCCCCCCCCCCCCCCCCCCCCCC